CAAGGCTGAGTCCTTTCAGAAGCAGATTGCAATTCCTGTCTTCCAAGCACCTCTGGGTGGGTTTGAACTGCCAACCTCTCAGCCAGAAGTTAAGCTTATAATGGTTTTCTCCACTCAAATACTCCTAAAACCACTGAAATCCTTCTCATCTCCTCAATAAGAAAGCTGAAGGATAGTTAGGTAAAAACGTGTGGGACCTGCTTAGAATTAACACAAGGGAGATGTAGAGAAAAATATATACATACGTTTTATGGGTTTAGTGGTTCCTGGGTGGTGCAAACAGTTAATGTTTCATTAATGCTCAGTGCTAGCTGAAAGGTTGGGGTTCAAGTCCACCCAGAGGTGCTGCCTGAGAAAGGTCTGGTGATCTATTTTTGAAAAATTAGCCATCGAAAGCCCTATGGAGCACAGTTCTACTCTGCCACACATGGGGTTGCCATAAGGCAGAATCAGCTCTATGGGAACCAGTTTATGGGTTTGTGAGCTTTTAAAAAAAAGTAGAGTTCATTCTGAATTAATCATATAAAATAATTATCCATGCTCCATAGCAAAATATCATTCTTTTAAAATAAAATATATGATTCATTTTTTCTAACAAAGATTATATTTTTTTTAAATGTGCTTATTGGCGTTTACCTTTTATGGTGCTTTGTATAAAAAATTGGTAATCATTCTATGTTTGGCGTGTTGCTGTTCGGCAAACGCTTCCTTCAAGTCTTATTAGTAAAGTAAAAGCAAATAGAGATAACAGTGATTTCTGTAAAATTTACGATAGTTCACATTTCCATTTTAATTTTAATTTACCCAAAAGTCTTTTTTATGGAAGCACATACTTTATTTATATAATCCAGGGAAATCATAAACCATAGATACAGACATAAATATAGACATTATCATAATCATAGACATAGACAAAGAAAAAGTGACTCAATATTAACTGTGATTTCATCCTTCTGAAAATCGCTACTATTTCGTAGCTTGGGGTTGGAAAGAGGAATATTCCAAATTGGGAAAGGAAAAAAAAGCCATCCTTCAAGCCCTCTTCCCATCATTTTTAATGTTTATTTAAATTTCAAAGCATCTGTTGGACAATCCAAATGGTTGCGTTTAGTCTTCAAATGGTTTTTTGTTCTGACATTAGCACGTAAGAATAACTGAATTAGTACCTTGCTTTTTAAGCGAGTAACTTTCTTGATAGGCGTAACCCTAGTGTGAATGACGGCAGTCTATGTGTTTGAAGTGTGCCTGTCATGATGAAGACGTCACACAGCACTCTGCCCACGATGGAGCTTCAGTACATTAACGTGTCTGGGTCACAAGAGTGAATGAGGAATGAATGCATGAAAGCAATGGTAGGAAGGTATGGAAGAAGCAGGTACAAAATTAACACTCAAGTGTGTTCTTAATGTTTTCCAAAAGATAAAAATGTTGAAATGGGCTCAAGCCCAGGACTTATTTTATATGACGGAGTCATTTCCCGTTTCCCCTTAATTTTCTATGTATTTTTAGAAATACATGACTTGTAAATCTTTAAACAAAGTGGTAGTGTTCTTCTTAGAGTCTCTAGGGTTTATGATTAAAATAAAACATTGCCATCGAGTTGATTCTGACTCATAGCGACCCTGTAGAACCGCCCCGTAGGATTTCCAAGGAGCACCTGGTGGATTCGAACGGCTGACCTTTTGGTTAGCAGCCAAGCTCTTAACTACTGCACCACCAGAGCTCCTTTGAGATTCTGTGAATTGGTAAAAAACAGAAAATATTATAAGAAAGGTAAAATATATTTTTAAAAAATATATCTGAATCTAGGCTGAGTACTATCTCTTTCTCACAAGTCAGATTCTGTTTGGAGGTTGAAAAAGTGAGCAATTATATCTACTGTCATTAAACCAAAACCAAAAACCAAACTCATTGCCGTCCAGTCGATTCTAACTCATAGCGACCGTATAGGACAGAGCTGAACTGCCCCATAGGGTTTCCAAGGAGCGGCTGACAGATTCGAACTTCTGACCTTTTGGTCAGCAGCCAAACTCTTAACCACTGTGACACCAGGGCTCTATTATCATTACCAAATCTTTACCTGTAACAGTTAAAATTTTATAATTATTTTGTATTTATCAGCGTGCCCCCAATAGACTTAAAGTGTTTTGGAGGCTAGAACTAAGTCCGCGTCCTTTTTGTTATCATTCTTAGCGCTGCGTTCTGGATAGTGTCAGCCTTCAGTAAATGCTCGTAGTTGGAGCCGATCCTTACTCTCAGCGGGTGAAACAGACACAGCGCTTGCCCTCCAGGCGCTTACTGTGACTCTGTGAAGCAGGCAGCACAAGCAACCCAACAAGACACCTCAAGAAGTGAAACGTTATGAAGGAAATAGGTAGGATGTTGACAGACTAACTTCCTCGGAAAGAATGGTCTGGGAAGGTATTGCCAAAGCAGAGGCATTAAGCAGAAACTTGAAGAATGTGGAGCAGCCATCACTTGGATGACCTGAAGTGAACCACTTCAGGACCAGGGGAGGAGTATGAAAGTCCTTATGTCACTAAAGGATCCATTTCAGCTAAATATAACCCAATCTTTCACAAGCTTAAAGATTTATTATCCTACGAGCTTCACTTCTCCTTTGCATCTGGGAATCTCTAATAATTACAAACGTTATTTACAATATGTATTTCTATTTTACTATCTGATGTATTTATGGAATGTCGTGTTTTCTGACAGACTAGAGGTTCTTCACCTGTGACTGGGTCTCCATTGTCTGTTTTTTCTGAGTGTTAACAGCATGGAGTAAAGATTTTTGTTTGACGATAACCCCTGCTGATTGTTGAGACTAAACACCGACAAGAGAAAACCTTCTCTGCCAACCTTTGCCCTGACTTGAAAGAAATACAAAATGGCAATTTTTACACCTCTAATGAAAGCCCATTTATGTAGTGTGACCCCTATCTGTGACTCATTACAAATCAGCCAGCCGTGACCCTCAGACCTTAATGCATTATCATTGCTTCACTCCAGGGCTGTTAACCAAGTCAAAACTGAGTAAACGTATCAAAAAGGCAATGGGAAACCCCCAGGTCTCAATGACAAATTTTTAATTCTTTTATTCTCTACTTGTTGGATAATAGTCACTTATAAATCGAGCCATGAGGAAGAAAAAAAAATGAAGTAAAACCATCATCAGGTGCTAGGTTTAATATGCAATGTTTATATTGGTTTCTAACAGCTATCAAATCTTAGACCTGTTAAATTCAGATTGCTAAGATAATGTATTCATACAAGCACTGTACTTTGAAATAGTTTTATTTTTTTATAAATTGTAATGGCTATATCACTAATTTTAGTAAGAATTAAAAAAAAACAAAATTAATTTATTCCATATTAGCATTGCTTGGAAGAGCACCTGTTTGCTGCCTGTTTAGAGCTGTGCACATCGAACTGGGTATAGTGGGAAGGCAGCATTCCTCCTGGTATCACTTACTCTTTTCTTTCAAGTTTAACAAACAGGCATTTGATACCTTTTTACAAGATTCCAAAGTTGCAGATTTACTCTAAAATAGATCCCATTACCATGTATTCCCACTTTGGTTTCTGCTTTTCTTCCCTTCTCTCTTCCCCTCTCACGCCCTCCCCTCCCCTTCTGTCTTCTCTCCTCTCCTCTCACCTAACTTCACCTCATCTTTGATTTCCTTTCCCCAGTTGATCACAGTATTGGTCACCGAAGCATTCACTACTGAGTTATTTTAATAGACTCTTAGGAGCCCTGGTGGTGCCGTGGTTAAGTGTTTAGGCTGCTAACCGAAAGGTCAGCGGTTTGAGTCCACCAGCTACTCCTTGGAAACCCTATGGGGAGTTCTACTCTGTCCCGAACTACAGGGGCGCTATGAGCTGGGATCGACTCAATGGCAACAGGTTTGGTTTCGTTTGGTTTTCTTAGGTCTCTTGCCTTCAACCACTTTTATTTTTTTTTTGTATTTGTGCCTTAGGTGAAATTTTACCGAGCAAACTAGTGTCCTAGTCAATGATTTGTACACAAAGTGTTCTGTGACCTTGGTTGCAGTCCCCACAGTGTGTCAACACTCTCCCCATTTCCACCCGAGTTCCCTGTTTCCGTTCATCCAGTTTTCCGGCCCCTTCTTGCCTTTCTCATCTTTGCTTTTGGGCAAATGTTGCCCTTTTGGTCCCCCACAGTTGATCGCTCTAAGCAGCACTTTACTCGTGGGCGTCATTGTTTATTTTATGGGCCTGCCTGTTATTGGGCTTAAAGGTGATCTCCGGCAGTGACTTCATATCCAAGTTAGACGGGTGACTAAGGGCCATAGTCTATGGGGTTCCTCCAGTCTCTATCAGACCAGTAGGTCTGATTTTTTTGTGTGTGTGTGAGTCATACATAAACCAGTCGTATGTAGCTGCCATGATATCGTTCATCATGCCGAAGTGTTCTTTACAGAAAAACTTCTAGGTTTTGTAAATCTAAATGTAGAGAAGAACTTCCTAACCTCAGAAGGTCTGTTTCATATGTTAATAGGGATCATTACATGGAATCTGCATATATAACTTCAAAAGTATTTACTGTAGCGTGTTCCACTTACTGTGTTGTCCTCAAAATTTATCTCATTAACTGTAATCAGCATTATTATTATTATTATTATTATTTGGCTGAAATTGGTTTATCTTTAAGTCATTCCAAACACTATAAATGTTAAAATAATTTTTTGATAGATATTTGACTTAAAGTATAATAGATGTTGAATTTCATTTTAGAACTGATAGTGAATATCTTGAAGTGAGTAATAACAATCTCAAATTCATAAAATCCAGTAACTGAAGGTTCTCAAATGTATGCAATTATCTCTATGGGTACTTAAGCATCTTATACACTCTTGATGAGTATTTGAAATACATCGGAATTCAGAAGCAAAAGTTAATCCTACAACTGAATATTTGCAATACTTCATGTCAAGAACAGTTTCTGTCACGCTAAGTATTTTGTGCCTTTCATTTAGGTCATCAAGCTTGCCTTTGAAGAGTTTGAACTGGAACGAGGATATGACACCCTTACAGTAGGAGACGCTGGGAAAGTGGGTGACACCAGGACAGTCTTATATGTGTAAGTATATAATTTAGCTTATGTTCTATTCTAAAACATTCAAAGAAGTCTGCAAAATTGAACCATGCTGAGATGCTGACGTAGACTTGCAATTCTGACACAGTTATTTAATAAATGTTGTAGATGGGTAATCTGATGGTTTCCAAACCTAATATCACATGACATTTAATTTAAGATGGTGTTTATCTATGTCAACTGCATGTGTTTATGGCAAAAAATTAGAACATACAAAGATGTAGAAAGAGGAAATTACACGTTTCTCAGCTCATCACTTCCTTTTCAGCCCCTCTCTTTCTACTCTCCTGCGATATTATCAGTTTTTTTGAAGTACAGGTGTTTTCTACAATAATGTCTTTGTAAAATACTCGCATTTCTCTAAAACTGCATACTAAAAATAATAAAGATGGGTGGGGGGAGTGTGGTGACAATTCACTCTACATCTGTAGAACTTTGCATTCAGAGCCCTAACAAAAACGATAATAATCTTAATATAAATATTTGCATACTGATCCCTCCACTGGCATTTGCAACTAGAATCACAGTCTACCCATCCCCTGCAGCGTTTTACTCTGGAACATCTGTTCCAGCTACTTCCAGATGCAGGGGTAGAAGGCATCCACTTTTGTCAGTTTGATCAGACCTTTCTTAATCAAAACTGCAAATCCTATTTTCACTATTAGTGTTTTTATGTATCAGTGAGGCTTTTTCATTGTTTGTTAGAACACTTGCCTGTGAGTACTTCAAAATATTACTACACTAGAAAAAAGCCAGTACTGTTCTATTATACTCACATCACGTGCTCATTTACCAATTATTTATGAGGCAATTGACATGTTAACATACTATATATGCCTTCAAAAATTAATGAGTTCATACTATGTCTACCTGGGTAACATGCTTTTTTTTTTTTCCATTCATTATATCTTGGATGCCTTTCCACATTAACACTTAAAGCTCTAACTCATCTGTTGACTGGCCCGTTCCTACTACAACTGCTAATTAAAATAATATTAATAGCCCACTACCTATGATAGCGATTATAGTATCCTCACTTGTAATGCCCTAGGTAATATGTATTGAGTATCTCCTAGGCACCATGCGCTATACTGAATGACTAATACCTGTCATCTTAGTTGGTCTTCACCATAATCCTTTGAGTTGCTATTCTTGTTAGTTACCATCGAGCCTGCGCCAACTCACGGCGACCTTATGTATAACAGAACAAAATGTTTCCTGATCCTGTGCCACCTTCATGACCATTGGTATGTTGAGTCTATTGTTACGGTTACTGTGTCAGTCCATCTCCCTGAGGGTTCTCTCTTTTTCTTTGGCCCTCTGCTTTACCAACTATGCTGTCTTTTCCCAGCAACTGGTCTTACCTGATGATGTGTTCCAAATAAGTGAGTTGAAATCTTGTCATCCGCACTTCTAAGGCAAGTTCTGGTTGTATTTCTTCTGAGACCAATTTGTTCATTCTTTTGGCAGTTCACCGTATATTCAATATTCTTCATGAACACCACCGTTTGAACACATCACTTCTTCTGCCTTCTATTTTGCTATCCTACTTTCACATGCACATAAGGGGATTGAAAAGACCATGTCTAGGGTCAGACTCACCTCCGTCATCAAAGTGTCATCTTTGCTTTTTAAAACTTTTAAGAGATCTTCTGAAGCGAATTTGCCCAATGTGATAGGATCTTTGACTTCTTGACTGTTGCTTCCATGAATGCTGATTATTGATCCAAGTAGAACGGAAGTGTTGACAACTTCAATTTTTTTCTCCGTTCATCATATCTTTGAGTTAGGGGTTCATAACAGCATCATCTTATTAACAATAAAATTGAGGCTTAGATAGATTAAAGAAATTGCTAAAATTCACAAACCTAGTATATGATGAAGCCGGTGTTCAGACTCAGGGATTCCTCTCCAGCGTCTGTACTCTTAATCATCAGGTCTGGATGTGTCACATGTTTAACTGATTCTCACCGAGTCTTTTGTTTCCCTCTCTCCCATTCTTTTGCTTTTAAGAGCAGTTCTATAGTAAACAAATTTGCATATATACATATTCGTACTTGTTTCATATGCCTTCTGGAAAATTTCCAGCAGAGGAATTACAGGGGCAAGGGGTATCTTTGTTTACTTTTTAATGCATTTCCAATTATCCCTCCCAACAGGTTATATCAATTTACTCTTTCATGACAGTACATGAAAGTCATTATTTCCCCACATCCTCACCACAATGGCATGTGCCAAATTACTTGGTGAAAATTAAAGTTCTTTATTTTGCTTTGTATTCCTCCGAGGAACTTTACAAAAATACAGCTTGTTACTGCATGGGGCCCAGAAATCTACATAGTTTGCACACTTCTCAGATGGTTTTCACGCACACTGCATGGCGTCCATCTGGGTCAGTATTTGTGAGCACTGATGGAGTGGATGAAGAATCACGCTGGGAAGCTGAAGACGGAGTTTCTAGTGCAAACTCTGCTCTTTTCTATCTCTGTGACGCTGAGCAAAGTCATGGTACCTCTCTCTACCCCTGTGTTCATGGCTATAACATATGTAAACTGTTCCTGCTTGTGGTAGAGAATAAAATGAAATAACGCATGTGAAAGCAGTAGGAGAGTGAATGTTCCCCACACATAAAGTAGCTTCATTATTTCCATTACATCTCATTTGAGAAGGGATGTCACTAAAATAAATGAGTTTTTTCAATAACTGCAAGATTTAAAATGTAAAGGTAGCACCATAATGCCATGTAAAATCCCTTATGCCACCATTAAAGATCTAAAGTCTTTCGTCCATTTTTTAATGTTGTTTGTTGTTAAGACGATGATAGCAAACTATGTATTATACAATGGAAGGGTTATCAGAAGCTCCTCTCAGTAGCTCAGATCTATAAAAGAAAAACTAAACAGCCAACTGAATCTAACCGAGATGCCCTTTGGGAAACATAATGTAACAAAGATCGGGTGGGCATTTAATCGACAGCACTAGAGGAAAAGAAAAGCCACCGATCTGTTTTCTTAGTAACCAAAATTACAGAAAAGGAAAAGAACACAGAGAATCACAGCTGGGTTCTCTGAAAAAGCAGGTAATTTTAGATCATAAATCAACAAATAGGTTTTAGTACTTATATGCCAGTTATTATTCTCAGCATGGAGTTTATCATCTAATTGGAGAAATGACAGATACACAGGGATAGTTCAAATACCAGACGGTATATAGAATCACGGAATCTCATCATATATTTTTCAAATGAAATATGAGTTAAAAAAAATTCCTTTATGGGAGAATGGTATTTACTATTTCAAGCCAAATGTGTTATAGATTACCTTTTGGGGGCATTCATAGGTGCTGCAGAGGGTTAACACCTAACTGAAGGGTTGGGAGTTTGAATCCACTCAGAGGTGCCTCAGAAGAAAGGTCTGGTAATCTACTTGTGAATAATTGGCTATTGAAAACCCTATGGAGCACAGGTCTGTTCTCACACATGTGGGGTCACCATGAGTTGAAATTTACTCAGAGGAAACTGTTTTTTGCTGCTGTTATTGTTTGTTATAGCATTCTTTTTTTTAATGGAATTCATCAGATTTTGATTTTCAAAATAAATTCGCAAAGTGAAATAACATAATAGGCTCGTCCTAAATATGATTTTAAAAGTTCTAATTTCTGTTAATGGATTTTTATTTTCTTAGCTTTTGTGGCAAAAAGAGTGAGAGAAGGAGAGAGAGAATAGGTGACTATTAGGGGACTCTTTCAATAATCCAAACTTCCCAAGAGATGGGCTAAGTTACTCAGGTTATTTCTACAGAATGACAGACTTAAAAGAAAATTAAATAATGTACTTAACAAATCTCTAGTGATCGCTTGCCAAAAATATGTCTTGATAATTTTCTCAAATTTAATTTGCAGAACTGTATTGGGAGACAGCCGTTATGTGACTTCCCTCTCCCTGTTATAGTTATTAGCTGTTGCTGATTGGAAAATCATGTCAGTATCAGAACATCCTGCAGATTGCAAACACTGGCTGCAATTTTAAATGTCCTCCTCTATGGAGATGAATAGCCAGCATCAGGGAAATCTGTGAGCAAGCAGAATAGCCTCTGCATGGCTAGATTTGTGCACCGATAGGTAAGGAAAATAGTTTTTCCTTATGACTCATTTAATCCATTACTGTTGAAGCTGCTTCTTACCTCGAGATGCTGCTGAAGCCCTTGTTAGGGTTGTGATTCAGCCTCTCCCTGCTACTGTGTGCTGGTCCAGAGCCAAAGGGTAGGATTCTTTTTATTAAGACTCTAAACAGCCATAAAAAGCAGACTCTAATAACTGATGTGTGTATGTTTGTATAAGCTCGATAGATCAGGAGACTCAATCAGTGCTTTGGAGAAAAGCTTGAACCGTTTACATTAGGAATAAATGCATAAACATATCCGTTTAAGCAATCGCTAGTTAAAACCCCATTTTCCATTATTAGAAATCAAGTAAAGTCATTAGATTCTTAAACTCTGGCATCACATGATGAAAATTATTTTTCTTCCTGTTACGGTTCTCGTAAAGACATTGCTTGTGAGCCTAGAAACAAAGGATAGCACCAATCCATCTGAGGTGCTGCAGCTCCATTCTTGACTTAAAGTTTAGCTATTGTTACCTTTTCCTCCTCTCCCACTTCATTTGGAAGCTTCCTTGCTTGATTTTTTGAAGAAATATTTATTGAGTATCTGACATTATGGTAGGAAGCAGGGACAAGCTGGCTTAGGGGGTATAAATGAGGATCCTATCCTTGAGGAGTTTCATATAATTCGTATTTCATATAATTATAAATTATACATAGAAATAATGATAACATAGCTTTAATTTTGTACAATATTTTATACAATGGAAAACACATCGTCTTCTTGGCATATTCATCTATAGGTTTCAACTACAATGATGTTTACTGATAGAATAGGGAAGAGAAGGAAATGCAGAGCAGCTGTGAACACAGGTAAGAGGGCAAA